CTCCGAAACAGGCTCCAGGCTCTGAGCTGGCAGTCAGCACAGAGCCTGACGCGGGGCTCGAACCCACGAACCGCGAGATCATGACCCAAGCGAAAGTCGGACGCTTAACCGACTAAGCCACCCAGGCGCCCCTCATATCTTTTTTTTAAAAATTTTTAACGTTTATTTATTTTTGAGAGACAGAGTGTGAGGAGGGGAGGTGCAGAGAGAGAAGGAGACACAGAATTGGAAGCAAGCTCCAGGCTCTGAGCTGTCAGCACAGAGCCTGATGCGGGGCTCCAACTCACGAACTGCGAGATCATGACCTGAGTGGAAGTCGGCCGCTTAACCAACTGAGCCACCCAGGCACCCCTGAATATTTATATCTTAATTTTGGTTAGATCAATTGTTGGGGTTTGTATTCTAACTATGTATGTCATTAGTATTTACAGCTGAGTTCTGTGGTATGCCATGACTACTTTTCTTTTTAAATTTTTAAAATTTTTTAATTTTAATTTTTTTTGAGGGAATGTGCATGCACATGCACATGGGGAGGGACAGAGGGAGAAGGAGGGAAAGAATCTTAAGCAGGCTCCATGCCTAGCGTGGAGCCCTACGAGGGGCTCGATCTCACCACCATGAGATCATGACTTGACCCAAAATCAAGAGTAGGACACTTGGGGTGCCTGAGTGGCCCAGTCAGTTAAACATCCGACTTTGGCTCAGGTCAGGATCTTCTGTAAGTTTGAGCCCCTTGTCAAGCTCTGTGCTGATGGCTCAGAGCCTGGAGTCTTCTTTGGATTCTGTGTCCCTCTCTCTGTGCTCCTCCACCACTCATGCTGTGTCTGTCTCTCTCAAAAATAAATAAACATTAAAAAATTAAAAAAAAAGTAGGACACTTAACCAACTGAGCCACCCAGGCACCCAACTACTTTTCTTTTTTACACAACTTTTGTACTTCTTGCAGTTAATAGCCATTTTTTGTTTGCATAATTTTTAATTTTTTTAATTTTTTAAATTATTTTTTAATGTTTTTTTTTTTTTTTAAATTTCTGAGAGAGAGAGAGAGACAGAGACAGCATTAGCACAGGAGGGTCAGAGAGAGATGGAGATATAGAATCTGAGGCAGGCTCCAGGCTCTGAGCTAGCTGTCAGCACAGAGCCTGACGCGGGGCTCAAACTCACGAGCCGTGAGATCATGACCTGAGCCGAAGTTGGACGCCTAACCGACTGAGCCACCCGGGCGCCCCTGCATAGTTTTTTTTATGTATGTCTCACTAATCTGTTTTCAAATTCCCTTCCAGTTGTGTAAGTCTCCTTTCAATATGTTCAGATACACCTGACATTCTATTGCCTTGATCTTCTTGGAGACATCTCTCTCTGAGTCTTCTCTAATCTGGACTAGTTACCTTTCACATAGCAGACATCTTAAGATCTCCCTTCACCTTTATCCTGGTGATTTCTTTGCCTTTCTTTTGTGTTTAGTCCCTTATCTCCCCTACCCCATGCACATTTGTTTCCTATCGCTGATGTGACAGTTTACCACACACTTAGTGCCTTTTTGATGAAAGTGACATTTAAACTGAACCTTGAAGACTGAGTAGGAATTTATTAAAGAGTGAGAGAAGATTAACATCTTTGTGCAGAGAGAATAGGACGAATGAAGGAATTGATATAAGAAAAAGCATAGTGTTTTTGAGGAGGTTTCAGTGTGAGTAGAGCATTGATCTTTATTCTGAGTGCAATGAGAAGCCATTGGCAGGTTTTAAGAAGGAGAGACGCATGATCAAATCTACATTTTAGAAATAGCTATCTGAGGGGCACCTGGGTGGCTCAGTCGGTTGAGCGTCCGACCTCGGCTCAGGTCATGGTCTCATGCTTCGTGGGTTCGAGCCCCGCATCGGGCTCTGTACTGACAGCTCAGAGCCTGGAACCTGTTTCAGATTCTGTGCCTCCCTCTCTCTCTGATCCTCCCCTGCTCATGCTGTCTCTATCTCTCTCTCAAAATTAAATAAAATATTAAAAAAAAAAGAAATAGCTCTCTGGGATGGGTAAAAGCAGATCGAAGGAGATCACGTAAGAAGCACCACCTGAGAGATCACAGTGGCTTGGATCAATGCAGTGGCAGTAGAAATGGAGAGAAATTAATGACTCTAAGGTATTTATGAAGTAGCATTGCCAGAACTTAATGAAGGGCTGGATGTGTAAGGAGGGAAGAGGAGAGACAGAAGAATCAATCCTGATGTTGCATTTCTAGTATGGTAAATGTACCTTGGTCCTGTCAGACAAAGGTGAGGTCAGCATGGGTGGCAGACATTGATAGGTTTGGCCTAGAGTGGCTGTCATGTGGCCCTCCTAGTTCTGCTGGTGTTGCCTCTAGGGCCAGTGAAGTGTAAAATTGTCAGTTACCTGTGAGAAGTTGCCCCATGCAAATAGGTCCTTGCATCCTTTTTCCAAAGAAAAGTTCAAGTTCACCCAAGGCCATGCAAATTGGAGAGCTGCTATAAAACACTTAGAACCCTATTTTTGCTATGAGCTTTTTCCCCCTCTACTTATGCATGTATATTTTTTTGTTATCTATTTAAATCTTGTTTCTTTTCAAAACTGATTTGAGGCAGTTTATATTTGCTCACACATTTGCCATTTCTGATGTTCTTCATTTCTTTGTGGAGATGCGAATTTTAATTCAAATTTCCTTCTGGCTGAAGAACTTTAGCATGTCTTGTAGTGCAGGTCTGCTGGCAGTGAATTCCTGAAAAAACCTTTATTTTACCTTCCTTTAAAAAAAATTTTTTTTCTTAATGTTTTATTTATTTCTGAGAGAGAGAGAGAGAGAGAGTGTGAGCAGGGGAGAGTCAGAGAAAGAGGGAGACACAGAACGAGAAACAGGCTCCAGGCTCTGAGCCAGCTGTCAGCACAGAGCCTGACCCGGGGCTCGAACCCACGAACTGTGAGATCATGGCCTCAGCCGAAGTTGGATGCTTAACCAGCTGAGCCACCCAGGCGCCCCTCACCTTCCTTTTTGAAAATATTTTTGGTGTCATTTTTGTCTTTGTTCTTCATATATCTTTTTTCCTCTGGTTGCTTTTAAGCTTTTTCTCCTTGTCACTGGTTTTTAGAAATTTCATTATGATATGCCTTGGTGTGAGTGATTTTTATTGTGTTTCTTCTGCTTCATGTTCTTGGGCTTATTAGAGCTGAGATTTATAGTCATATTTGGAAATATCTCAGACATTTTCTTCAAATATATTTTTCTATCCTCTCTTCTCTCTCCTTTTTTCTTTTTAACTTTTTAAAAAGTAAACTCTAACCCCTAACATGGGGCTTGAACTCACGACCCCAGAGTTAAAGAGTCACATGCGGTACTAAGCCAGCCAGGTGCCCCTCTTTTTGGAATTTGAATTATACCTAATATTATGCTTAATGTTGTCCTACAAGTTACTGATGCTCTATTTTTTGTTTGTTCGGTTTTTTTTTGTTTTTTTTTTTTCAATTTTTTTCTTTCTGTGTAATTTTGGGTAATTTCTATTGCTTTGTGTTCAGGTTTACTGATCTTTTCTTTTGTGGGATCTAATCTGCTGTTAATCCCATCCAGTATATTTTTCATTACAGATATTTTATTTTATTAATTTAATTTATTCATTCTGAGAGAGAGGGAGAGAAAGAGAGAGAGAGTGAGTAGGGGAAGGGGAGAGAGAGAGGACAGAGAGAATCTCAATCAGGCTCTGCACTATGCTATTAGCACAGAGATGAGCATGGGGCTTGAATCCATGAACCGTGAGATCATGACCTGAGCCAAAATCGAGAGTTGGATGCTTAACGCACTGAGCCACCCAGGTGCCCCATATTTTCTTTTTCATTAATAGAGGTTCAATATTGGTCTTTTTTCTATCTTCCGTTTATCTCTTCATCATGATCATTCTTTTCCTTTTTGAAGATAGGGAATAAATTTATAATAGCTGTTTTAGTGTGTTTGTTTCCTAATTTTCTCATCTCTGTTTTAATGGGGTCTGTTTCTATGATCTGTCCTTTGATTATGGTTCATACTTTCTTGCTTCCTTGCATGCCTGCAAAATTGTTTTGATTGAGATGTTATTCACATACCATAAATACACTTTTTTAAAGAGTACAGGCCAGTGTTTTGTAGTATATTTACAAAGTTGTACAGCCATTATGAAAATATAATTCCAAAACATTTGCACCATCCTCCTCCCCCAAAAACCTTATACCCATTAGTAATCATTCCCCATTCTGTCCTCCTCCAGCCCCTTGTAAGCACTGATCTAGTTTCTGTCTCAGTGGATCTGCCTATTTTGGATATTTCATCCAAATGGAATCATGCAGTATGTGCTCTTTTGTGTTGGACTTTCAGTTAGCATAATGTTTCTAAGGTTTACCCATATTGTAGCATGAACAGTCTTTTATTCCTTTTTATGGCTGAATAATATTCCATTGTATGCATATGCCTGGAAATTCTTGAATGGATACTGGAAATTTATTTTACATTGTTGCTAGATTTTGTTGTATTTCTTTGTTAGGTTTAATGTTTATTTTTGAGAGAAAGAGAGAGAGAGAGAGCGCACGAGCGAGTGAGCGCACAGGAGGGGCAGAGAGAGAGGGAGACTCAGAATCCAAAGCAGGCTCTAGGCTCTGAGCTTGGTCAGCACAGAGCCCGAAGTGGGGCCCAAACTCCTGAACCGTGAAATCATGACCTGAGCTGAAGTCGGACTGAGCCACCAAGGCGCCCTGATCCTGCTTTTTAAACTTTGTTACTGTGGGTCTAGAGTAGCCTTTAATCTGAAGTAATTTGGCTGCACTCCTGAGGCAATACTACTCTGAGATTTTACTTGATGCTTTGCATATTTGGAGGCCTTTCAGTGCTCACTAGTGGGAACAAAATTATACACAAAGAAAAGAAAACTGAAAAAAAAAAAAAACAAAAACAAAAAAATAGAGCATCAACCCTGTGTGAACTCAAGGGCTTGTTCAAACCCCTACTTCTTTCTGGTGGTTCTTGCCCATGCCTTATTTTGTTTTTTTGCACATATACATAGGTTATAGTCTACCAAAGATTTGAAAGAGGACTCCTCTGCAGCTCTTTGGAACTCTCTCTTTACATACCTCCCTTCTGGTATTTTACCCTGAAAATTCTACCTGCCTTGGCCTCCGTGAACTCTAATCTAGGTTTCTTAACTCAAGATGCCAGGCTTTGTTTCAGCTCAGCTGTCCTGTACTGTGGCCTTAAAATTTCCTCTAGATGGTAGGCTAGGGTATCCATGGGGCTCACCTTGTTTCCTTTTTTCTCTCAGGGGTCAGTGTCCTGGGCTGCCTGTTGTCCAGTCTCTGAAAACTATTGTTTATATCTTTTGTCCAGTTTTCCAATAATTTAAGGTGGTAAGGCAAATCTGGCCCCTGTTACTGCATAGCTTTGGCTTAAAGTAGTTTAATTGACCTGATGCATATAAAGAGACAATAATCATAATCATATTCATAATAAAAGTAATAAAAGTACAAAGCACTGAGAGAAAGCTAGTATTGAAGTTATGTGGATCATAACATTACAGTGATTAAGCCACTTTTTCATCCAAACTTCACAGAAACCAGCATCGAAAGCCAAGTGCAGAGGGATAGATGATCTAATGAAAGAAACAGTTTTCAGGAGAGGGAAAAAAACACTTTTTTGCCAGAATTTTAAAGCTCACCCAGGGGAACTGGTGATGAGTTTTTGACATCTGTGTCCATCTCTGACAGCCGGGGCGGCTGGTGGGAGTGACGCAGAGGCAATGGCTGCTGACTGGAAGAAGTGTGACCTGATTGCAAAGATCCTAGCCTCTTGTCCCCAGCAGTCTTTCTCGCCAGAGGATTACTATAGGGATATCTGCCCCCAGGTAAACAATTTTGTTTCTTTTCATTGTTTGAGGATTGTCTGCTTATCCACAGAAAGAAGACTTTTAATGTTTCGCTAATGTGAAGGTGAAAGCGATGTAATATTTAAGTTTATTGTTCAGTGAGGGGCCTTGGTTTCTTTTTTTAATGTTTATTTGTTTATTTCGAGAGAGAACATGAGCCAGGGAGAGGGGCAGAGGAAGAAAGAGAATCTTAAGCAGGTTCCAGTGCTCAGCACAGAGCCCGAAGTGGGTCTCGATCCCATAACCTGGGATCATGACCTGAGCCAAAATCAAGAGTCAGATGCTCAAGGGACTGAGCCACCCAGGCGCCCCATTTAATGTGGAGGTGAAAGCAATATAATGTTTAAGTTTATTGTTCAGTGAGGGGCCTCGTTAAGTAAGTTGAACACCTGTGAAAGAGACCCACCTAATTGTTAGGTTTAAGACAGCCTCACCATTTTTAAAAAAAATTTTTTTTTTTAATGTTTTATTTATTTCTAGGAGAGAGAGAGAGAGACAGCGTGAGCAGGGGAGGGTCAGAGAGAGAGGGAGTCACAGACTGAAACAGGCTCCAGGCTCTGAGCCGGCAGCCAGCACAGAGTCTGACGCGGGGCTCGAACCCACGAACTGCGAGATCATGACCTAAGTGAAAGTCGGATGCTCAACCGACTAAGCCACCCAGGTGCCCCCAGCCTCACCATTGTTAAGTGGGTAGCTCAGCTTGCTCTCAGAGCTGGAATATGAAACTAAAATTTCATCATGTTCATTATTTTTTCTGTGTATTTTTAATTAGTTTAAAAAGAAATACGTATTAAGTAAACAAGGTAAATTAACATGGTATACAATTTAAAAAGCACAAAAGAGGAAACAGAAAAACCTTCCTCTCATTTCTAGCCGGTCAGAAGTAGTCATTTTTACCAATTTCTTATTTATTTTCCAGTAGTTTTCTGTGTACTAATGTCTATACAATTATATGTCTATGAATCTATGTATATTCTAATTTTTATCCAAATAAGAAACTGCATGCTACATGCAGTTTCTCATTTTTTAAAAAATTTTTGTAACTTTTTTTATTCACTTTTTTGAGAGAGAGTGCGAGCAAGGAAGGGGCAGAGAGACAGGAAGACCCCGAACCCGAAGCATCCTCCAGGCTCTGAGCTGTCAGCACAGATCCGATGCGGGACTCGAACCCACAAACTATGAGACCATGACCTAAGCTGAAATGAGACACTTAACCGACTGAGCCCCCCAGCACCCCTTCATTTTGGTTCTTAACAGTGGACCTTGGAGACGGGTGCCTGGGTGAGTCAGTCAGTTAAGCATTCAACTTTGGCTCAGATCATGATCTGGCAGTTTGTGGGTTCGAGCCCTGCATTGGGGTCTCTTGTTATCATACAGAACCTGCTTCAGATCCTCTGTCTCCCTCTCTCTCTGTCCCTCTCTTGCTCTTGCAGTGCTAGCTCTCTCTCTCAAAAATGAGTAAACATTAAAAAAAAATTGAAAACAAAAAAATCCCAATGTACCTTGGAGATAATTTCATACAGAATTGCCTCATTCTTTTCATGGGTGAAATATGGCATTTCACCATATTGGTATATCATAATTTATGTAACCAGCATCCTATTAGTGGACATTGAGTTCTCATACTTTTGCTGCTATAAACCATGCTACAGTTAATATGCAAATATTGCCATAGGAAAAATTCCTAGGATTGGTTCAAAGGGTATGTGCATTTAAATTTTTGATTCATATTGTCTATGTATCTGTTTTCCCACACCTTTGCTTACACAATGTTACAGGAGTTTCCTTTTTTTTTGCTAATGTTATATATGGAAAATGTGGAAGGAGTTTTCTTAATCAGCATTCCGCATGCAGTTAGATGTAAGACACAGCTTTTAGAGTCCAGGCCAAAGAAGGTCATTCAGTTGTTATGCTTATCTTCAGGGTTCTCGTGGATAGGCATGGTGAGAACAAAGTATCACAGTGCAAAAGTCTTATATTGAAAAATACTGAATCTAAATCTTCCTAAAGGACAAAGTTAGCATTTGCAGTGATGAGTAAGTATTTTCTGAATCTAGTAGTTACAGTTTTGGCTCTTGACAAAATGATGAAACCAATCACAGGTTTCATGCTTGCTGAGTCTCTCTCTGGCACTGTCAAAGGTCACATACAGTTTTTGGACAGAAGATACTCCTGTCTGCCGAAAAGTGCAAGACTCACTTTTAAGTCAGGAAGAGAAATGCACTTTTTATTGGCTGTTTATATTAGGGTGAACTACTTATAGGCATAGGAGATCTATGTTTATCTTTGAGAATAAAATAGACTCTTCTGGGATGGTTCAGGCATGACAGGCTTTTCAGACCCTAAATATATTTATATGCCTTGATCCAGAAATTTCATTTGATGGTGCTATTTATAATAGCAAAAAAATTTATTTTTAAGTTTTTCATTTTAATTCAAGTATAGTTAACATATAGTGTTATATCTGTTTCAGGTGTACTTTGATAGCAAAAATTTGAGACAAAACTGAATGTCTGGATATTAGGGAATAATTTAATAAATTCTTATATACAGCTTCAATAAAATATTTTTGAGGAATTTACAATATGAGAAGATTTCAACAATATGTGAAACTGAATATTAAATGGGGTCTTAATTAAAAAGAAAAAATCATACAGAAATATATTGGGAAGAATATACCATAAATGTTTCAGTGCTCTGGGATGAGTTTTCTTCCTAAAACTTTATTTTGCAAGTTTTCTACAATGAACATCTATCTTATAAATTTGGTAACATTATTTAATAAAATCATAGCCTCTTCAGCTCTCATACCCTCTGAATACAGGGTTGTTAAATTAAAAAAAACATTCTGTTGAATCAGTATTATTGCAGTAGGTTTGTTTTTTGACTTAAAGAAATAGCTCTTTCTCTTTATTTAATGTAATGCTCCTTGTGAAGAATCTCGTATTTACCTCATATACTTTTTCTCATAGATTCTAGATTTATTTCACTTTCAAGATAAATTGACAGCACGACAGTTTCAGAGAGTTGCCACCACTACCTTTATAACTATGTCGAGAGAACGCCCACAATTGGCTTCGAAGTATTTGCTTGAGCCAGTGCTAGCCCCTCTCCATCGATGTTTAAACGCCGCAGGTAAAGGGGGAAGTCTGGTGGCTGTGTCCCTCTCAGGGATCTTCTTCAGTGTTTCAGATTTCAGTGACTTAAGTCTGTCTTTTGTCTCCAGCTTTGCTTTCTTATCTCCCCAACTTTTTATGTTGAAAAATCCACCTCACGTAAGTTCCATGAAGAGTACCTTGGGTTGACCAGATGTTTCTTATCCTGGCCACATTCGCTTTATCTTTCTCTCTTTTTATAACATGTACATTTTTTCTGAAGCAATTGCTAGTTGCAGACATCATCTGATATACAGACTTGGTTCAAATTTCTCTAATTGTCTCAAGAATTTCCTTTGTAGCTATTTTCTTTTTTTAATCTAGATTCCAGTCAAGACTCATGCATTGCATTTACTTATTATATCTTTTTAGTTTTCATTAATGTAGAATAGTTCCCTAGCCTTTTGTTTGTCTTTCACCATGACGTTTTTTTTTCCAGATGAATACACTTCCTTTACCAAGGGTAACAAACCAAAACAAAACCACAAAACTCCAAACATGTAAAAACTCAGGGTGTTAGAAATACAAACTCAATTCATTCAAATTCAAGCCCGTCTAGGGGCGCCTGGGTGGCTTAGTTGGTTAAGCGTCCGACTTTCACTTAGGTCATGATCTCGCGGTTCGTGGGTTCGAGCCCCGTGTCGGGCTCTGTGCTGACTGCCAGCTCGGAGCCTGGAGCCTATTTCGGAGTCTGTGTCTCCCTCTCTCTCTGACCCTCCCCTGCTCGCACTGTCTCTCTCTCTCTCCTAGAAATAAATAAAAATAAAAAATAATAAAAAAAATTCTATCAGCTGCCAAAAAAAGAATTAAAAAAAAAAAAAATTCAAGCCCGTCTAGACCCTTAGTCACAAACCCTAGTGAGGTGCATGTGAACACCAAGTCAGGGAGAGGAGGACAAGAGTGAGGCCAATAGAAAGGGTGTGAAGGGGGCTCCCATGGCTTCCCTAGGGATCACCCTCACAGTGGTACCTCCACCTTCCCAGAGACAGTGAAGATTTACCAGGCCCTAACCTTTTGACCACCCCCCACCCCTGGCCAGGGCATTGAAGGCCTATCTCTAATGATTCTACCCTCCCTTGCTCCATCCTCACTTGCTCAAGCTTTCAGCCTCACTCTTCGCCTCTGTACTTTGGTCTGTGAATAGTAGTAAGTTTGGGTTGGGTACTGTTTAAGCCACAGTGAGGCGGGGGGCCACGGGAGACATGGTGGAGACGAGGCGAGGAGAGGAGGAAAAGATTTGTCCAAGGATCCCTCTCTTTGAGGATCCCAAAGTGTGTAACCAGCTCCTCTTTAAAAAAAATTTTTCAATGTTTATTTATTTTGAGAGAGATAGAGAGTGTGAGAAGGGAAGGGGTAGAGAGAGGGAGGGACAGAAAGAATCCCAAGTGGGCTCTGCACTGTCAGCACAGAGCCAGACTCGGGGCTCAAACTCCTGAGCTGTGAGATCATGACCTGAGCTGAAATCAAGAGTGAGGTGCTCAACTACCGACCGAGCCCCCCAGGCGCCCCCAGCTCCTCTTTTGTACCCACTCGGGTCTGAGAAAGTGCCCTGAGGCGCGAGCAGCTGTCCTGGAGACCTGCCGGAGCGCATGGGCTTGCTGGCCTGTGCTTGGTGGGGCTGCTGCTGTGTGAGACGACAGCGGCAGCTGCTTTTTCCCGTGGGTCAGGCTGCTGCCCAGCACAGCCAGGTGGGCGCTCTGCTGCCCCGCCAGGTCCGCGCACTTGTGCTGCCCCACACCCTGGGAGGCCCCGCGTCGTCGTGATGTTGCCGGCTGCGCTGGCCCGGAGGAGGAGGGCAGGGCCTGCTCATCAGTGGGAGCGGAAGGCAGGCCGTGCTGGTTGGTCTCAACTCCGCTGAGGGCTTTGGAAGGGGGCTGCCAGGGTCCAGCGGCAGCTCCCGCTCCCCTCGGTCCAAGTCCTTGTTCTCGCCGCTGTAGCGGCGCCCCAGGGCTGGGGTCAGGCTGGGCGCCGAGGCCAAGCCGAGGAGGGACGGCATCCATCCTCACCATGGCATTTTTGAAGAGCCTCGGTTGTAAAATGTTCTGCAATTTGTATTTGCCTAATTGTTTCCTTATGACTGGATCCAGGTTAAACGTTTCTGCAGCAGTATTACATAGGATGACAGTATTTTTTCTCAGTCTCCATCAGGCTAGGGGACACATGTAATCCGTTTATCCCATTATTGGTGATGTTACATTTGGTCATTTCATGAGTAGCCTGATTTCTCCATGGTTAACATACATGTCTCTGTAATTAATAAGTAATATATGGAATGGTAGTCTGAGACTGTGTGTCCTGTTTGCTGTTAAGTCTTTCAAGGTCTGGTTCGGTATCCATTGATGATTCTTGCCAGTAAAATGGTGACTTTCTTTTGTTATTTTAATTTGTTAGGTTGGTATTTTTTTTTTTTGTAAAGAAGAGCTTTTCTTTCTCCTTGCCTTATCCCATTTTTGTTTAGGATTTTTTTTTCTTTTTTTAGATTTTATTCAGTGGGCTACCAAACATTCTTGTCATTCATTTTTTAAAAATATTTATTTCTTTATTTTGAGAGACAGTGTATGCACAAGAGTGGGGGCAGGGCAGAGAGAGAGGGAAAGAGAGAATCCCAAGTAGGCTCTGCGCTGTCAGGGGAAACAGGTGAGATCATGACCTGAGCAAAAGTCAAGAGTCGGTCACTTAACCAACTGAGCCACCCAGGCTCCCCTCTTGTCATTCGTTCTGATGCTCACATTTTCCCATATTTGGCTGGTGGGTTTAGTTCTGTTTTAATGTCTTAGAAGATTGACATTTCACCACCTCCTCACCTCCCTTAGTATGTTTTTATACTTTACTGAAATTTTTCCCCACACTTTTCTGAATTTAATGCTTGGATACAGAATATTATTTCAACATTCTTTGTTAAAATAAAAAAAAAAAGAAAAAGCTTTCTAGATAGTAGTTCCTAAGGTTATAAATGAAGAAGAAGTTTGATGTTATGGTTAAACCAAATTTAGTTCTGTATAGACTTTTTCAAGAAGTTGTCCATAGTAAACATTCTTCTGGGTGTGTGTAGTGGGGGTGAGGTGGGCAGGGATAGAGAAAGTCTAATTCTTGTGCAACCTGGATCTAATCATGAGGAGACAATTAGACAAACTTCACCAAATTGAGCCTGGTGAAGTGAAATTTGTGATTACTCAGACATGATAAACATTATATATATAATGTATGTATATATGGGTTTTTTTTGTTTTTTTGTTTTTTTTGGTGTCCGTGGATGGGCCTAAACTAAACATGGTATTTGAGTAAATAATTAAAATTTCTTTATATATTTGATATAAATCTAGTCTAGATTCAGTATATTCTTCAAAAAATGGCTCAAGGGATGCCTCAGGTCGGTTGAGTGTCCAACACTTGATTTTGGTTCAGGTCATGATCCCAGGGTTGTGGGATTGAGTCCTGCCTTGGGGTCTGCACTAAGTGTGACACCTACTTGGGATTCTGTCTCTCTCACCCTTTGTCCTTCTCCCCTGCTTGCGTGCTTTCTCTCTCTAAAAAAATAAAAAACAAACAAACAAAAAAAATGGGTTAAAAAATGAAGTATTATCTCTGTTGGTCTTCAGCGTTAAGGTCTAGGAATTCTTTTTTTTTTTTTTTTAATATTTTTATTTATTTCTAGGAGAGAGAGAGAGAGACAGCGTGAGCAGGGGAGGGTCAGAGAGAGAGGGAGACACAGACTCTGAAACAGGCTCCAGGCTCAGAGCCAGCAGTCAGCACAGAGCCCGACGCGGGGCTCGAACCCACGAACTGCGAGATCATGACCTAAGGGAAAGTCGGACACTTAACCGACTAAGCCACCCAGGCACCCCTAGGAATTCTTTTATATCTAATCTCATGTATTAGGAGTATACCTCGTTACGAATCTGTTGTCTTGTCTATGACTGAATTAGGTATTGTAGTCTAAGGCAGTGGTCCTCATGGTGTGGCCCCAGGACCAGCAGCATCAGCATCACCTGGGAATTTATTAGAAATGCAACTTCTTGGTCTTTCCTCACACCTACTGAATCAGAAATACTAGTGTGGGTCCCAACAATCTGTGTATTAAGAGGCCCTTCTGGGGGCGCCTGGGTGGCTCAGTCGGTTAAGCGTCCGACTTTGGCTCAGGCCATGATCTCACGGTTCATGGATTCCAGCCCCGCATTTGGCTCTGTGCTGACAGCCAGCTCAGAGCCTGGAGCCTGTTTCAGATTCTGTGTCTCCCTCTCTCTCTGATCCTCCCCTGCTCATGCTGTCTCTCTCTCTCTATCAGAAATAAATTTTAAAAACCATTACAAAATTTTAAAAAACACAACACGCCCTTCTGGGTAATTCAAATGTGTGTTCAAGTTTGAACACTGGTCTAAAAGCACTATTCTTGGGATATGTAGATCCGTTCCATCTGTGGGTCAATTATTATTGTCCTGGCCATTATTCATTCCTATTGGACATCTATTTGCCAGACATTTCTTCCTATGTTAGGTTATATTTCTAACATCAGCTACATATTTTGCATTGACAGTGTGTGTATAACAAAAAGGAGTATATGATAGTCTGACTGGTTTTATATAGATAGCCCCATCATTGCCACTGGGAAGAAACTCTAAAACATAAGCTTTCTCATTTTGTTTTTCATATCATACCACATTTTTAAGACCATGTGGCAATTATGATGAATTACAATATTTTATCAATTCTAAGGTGCACATGTTTTTAACATAAAAAAACTTTAATTTTGGGGGGTGTCCTGGCTGACTCAGTCAGTAGAGCATCCGGCTCTTGATCCTAGGGCTGAGAGTTCGAGCCCCATGTTGGCCGTGGAGCCTACTTAAAAAACAAACAAAAAACCCCAAAACAGAACACTTTAATTTTGGAAATACTTTTCACATTTTAATAACACTGATATCCAAATGTATCTCACAATTATTGTTGGCCAGGTAGCAATCGTGGCATTGTCTGTGCATCCAAATGAGTGTTAAAAGTCATAGAATGGATGTCAGGGACTTAGAAAAAAATTGTGAAGACAACAGTAGAGTGGCAAACTTTGTTTTTGTTTTTGTTTTTTTTTTTTTAGAAAATGTTTTTATTTCTTTTTGAGAGAGAGAGACAGACCGAGCACTAGCAGGGAAGAGGCAGAGAGAGGAGACACAGAATCTGAAGCTGTCAGCACAGAGCCTGATGTGAAGCTTGAACCCATGAACTGTGAGATCATGACCTGAGCCAAAGTCAGACAACTAACTGAGTGAGCCACCCAGGTGCTCCTAGAGTGGTGAAATTTTAAGAAATTTCACATTAGGGACACTTGGGTAGCTCAATTGTTTAAGCATCCACCTCTCGGTTTTGGCTCAGATCATGATCTCACGGTTGGTGAGTTTGAGCCCCGCATCGGGATCTGTGCTGTCATCACAGAACCTGCTTGGGATTCTCCATTTCTCCCTCTGTCGCTGCCCCTCCCCCACTCGTTCTCTCTCAAAAATAAATAAAGTTTAAAAATAAAAAGAAATTTCACATCACCTGTACTCTTGGTGGCACAGAGGACAATATATTGTGGCAAAATGTGGATATCAGTAATGATGTTGAAATGTGTCAGAAGAGTTGGACTCTTAAATGTGAAGTATTCAGAATTCCTTATCTGTTTATCCCAATTATATAACTTATATAAGGGATGATATTTGATAAAATTGTATGTCTAAATCAGTCTAAAAGAAATCGCTTAATACTTTTTTTATTAAGTTTTTAAATCTTAATTATGTATATTTAACAAAAAAAGTTAACTTTTTTTTCCTGGACATTATTCAGTGCTGATCATGATAAGTGTACTGTTTAATCGCCATCACCTCTATCACACATTGCCCACTGACCTCCCCTCTTTTAATCCTTTTTATAAAATCTATTTTAAAACTTTTTTTTTAAGATTTTATTTTTAAGTAATCTGTACACACAACATGGAGGTCGCTGAACTCACAACCCGAAGATCAAGAGTTCTATGCTCCACTGACCGAGCCAGCTGGGCGCCCTATTTTCAAACTTTTTAAAGGGAACTTTTCAAACACATCTATAGAGAAAAGTAAAATAAATTCTTTTGTACCAGTCACCTCAACATAATTATTGACTGTCATTTTCACTTAATATAATCCCCAATTTTTCATTCATTAAATTTACAAGTAAAATTTCAAGTCATAATGTTTCATAGGTTACTTGCTTTTTTCTTTCTTGTGATACATAAAATAACAACGAATGTTTATAATCATTGGCATCATAGATTTCATGAAATACTATATTTCATGTTGTATTGTACATTGGTAGCCATGTTGAATCTCTAATTTTAGGTGTTAACTTGCAGAACTATCTTTCTAGAAACACTTTCTTCCTTAGGTCCTGAGCTCTATTCAATGAGGCACTGATTATGGGTAATTTTGTTTTTTGTTCTCTAGAGATTCCAGAGAGTGACATGGTGCCAGGGACCATTTTGGTGACAGAAGAAGAACTTAGCAGATGTATTGAGGATGTGTTTAAGGTTGGTTAACTTGAGTCACTAATGTTTTTAGCTAATATTTACACATAGTCTTTTAAAAAAACTTTTGCCTTTCTGGGGTGCCTTGATGGCTCAGTCGATTAAGCCTCCTACTTTGGCCCAGGTCATGATCTTGCAGTCTGTGAGTTTGAGTCCCGCATCGGGCTCTGTACTGACAGCTCAGAGCCTGGAGCCTGCTTCAGATTCTGTGTCTCATTCCCTCTCTCTCTGCCCTCCCCCTGCTCATGCTCTCTCTCTGTGTCTAAAAAATAAATAAACATTAAAAACATTTTTTTAAATACATCAAAAAATATAAAATTAAAAAAATAAAGTATGCAAATCAATGGATTTTTAGCATGTTCATAGGCTTGCACAGCCATCATCACAGTTGATTATAGAGTACTTCATTGCCCAAAAAGAAATCCCACACTATGCCCAAAGCCTCTCTGTTCTCCATTCTCCCTACTCCTCATCCCTCCAGCCCTAGGCAACCACTAATTTACTTTCTTTGTCTATAGATTTGCCTATTCTGGACATTGCATATAAATGGAATTATACAGTATATGATCTTTTGTGATTGGCATCTTATCATGATGTTTTTTAGGTTTATATTATAGCATGAAGCAGGATCTCATTTTTTTAAAGATTTCTTTTATTTTTAAATAATCTCTATACCCAACATGGTGCTCAAACTGACAACCCCACGATCAAAAGTTGCATGCTCTACTGCCTGAGCCAATCAGATGCCCCAAGACTTCATTTCTTTTTATTGCTGAATAATATCCTATTGTAGATATAGACTGTATTTTGTAATCCATTCATCCTTTGATATATATTAGGGTTGTTTTTACATTTTAGCTATTATGATTAATGCCACTATGGACATTTGTATACAAGTCTTTGTGCGTACATGTGTTGTCATTTTTCCTGGGTATACACCTAAGAGTAGAATTGCTAGATCTTATGGTAACTCTGTGTTTCACCATTTGAGGGACTGCCAAAGTGGCTGCACCATTTTACATTCCTATTAGCAGCATGTGAGGATGTGGAGTCAATCTTAAGTCATATTCTTTCAGATAAGAAGGCAGATAATTGGGGGGGGGGACTATTTTCATTTTATTTTGTTTTTGCTTTGTTAAAGTGTTACTAACTTAAGTAATTTCTACACTCAACGTGCGTGGGGCTCAAACTCATGACCTCAAGACCAAGAGTCCCACACTCTTCCGACTGAACCAGCCAGGTGCCCCTGTTTTCTTTTCATTTTAAACTTAATGTGTGATATTAATGATTTGTAGATATAAAATTCTCACTTAAATTCAAAACTCATTCTCTGTAACACTCCACTTTTTACTAAAGTAAGATGTTTACTACCCTTTCGTTTAATTTCACTATTAAAAAAAAGAGAATACCATTTACAGAGTTGACCTGGCATACAAGTATAGCACCAAATTGCTTATAGACAAAACCTGACTTAATGAATATAATGCTGTTTTTGCTTTTTTAAATGCCTCATTTAGAGACTTATGAACAGAAAGTTTTTATATTCTGTTCTACATATTCATAGGCAAGGACATTTTCGATTATAGAAAGAGAAGAAATTACCTAGAGCAGTCTAGAAAGCAAATGTTCTGAGTTAGAGAACAAGGCCCGTCTAACTCTCATAAACCTCGTCTTCAGTCACACGCCGTCTGCGGAATATCATGATGAAAGCTGTTAAATGTTTGGGTGTGGAATGTCAGAAAGACTTGAAAGTGGTGTCAGGGGTAGAACTTAATTGTGACTACACTTTGTACAAACCCCTCATGAATTTCTGGGAAGTAAAAAAAAAAATGCTTTTAGAGGAAAAAAAAAAAGCAAATCTGCTTCTTTCTGGAAAGTGAATTAGCCTCTAAAAAATGGAGAGATCCAGAAATAGTGAATCCTGCCATTGTTCCTATTCTTGTTCCCCCAAAAAGGGGGAGGAAAAATACCCTCCTAATTTGGTGAACAGTTTGGTGAATTTAAAACCTCTTGGAGAGGCAAGCAAAACATTAGTTTGCTGTAAACACTTGATTATGCACAAAAGATTGGGACGGTTATGAAAGCAGAAAGGGGTGCGGAAGGGTAATTATTCTCTCTACAAGGTTTTGGCAGCTCAGCTGCACTGGGAAAACAGAGGAAATGTGTATGTTGGGGGAAAATGGTAAACACTGTGTAAAGTTTAGCAACAAAGGCTGTGTTGTCTTTATTAACTTTCTGTTAATACTAAATTACAGAGCACAGCTCAAAGGCAGGAAATAAGGAAAACATCTGGGATAGTTGAATTGATCCAGCAACTCACTGGGTAACAAGAGGGTACAAGAGGGTGTTTAATTTTAGAGAGGCATTTGGGAACATGTCCAGTTCCAGTTTTCTCTCTCTTTATTGGATATAATTCACATACCCCACAATTGATACATTTAAAGTGTTCAACTCTGTGCTTTTAGTGTAGTCACAGGACTGTGCAACCATCACTACAAATCTGATTTTAGAAAATTGTTGTCCCCCTAAAAGGACCCCATACCCGTTACCCATACCCATTCATTTTCCCTTCTCCCAATTTTATTTTATTTAAAATTTTTTTTTAATGTTTGTTTATTTTTGAGAGAGAGACAGAGACAGAGCATGAGTGGGGGAGGGGCAGAGAGAAAGAGGGAGGCACAGAATCTGAAAAAGGCTCCAGGCTCTGAGCTGTCAGCACAGAGCCCAACGCAGGGCTCGAACCCACAAACCGCGAGATCATAACCTGAACCAAAGTAGGACATTTACTGACTGAGCCACCCAGGTGTCCTTCCCTTCTCCCAATTAAAAAAAAAAAAAAAAAAGGTTATTTATTTTGAGAGAGAGAGAAAACGTGTGAGTGGAGGAGGGGCAGAGAGTGAGGGAGAGAGAGAGAATCCCAAGCTGATGGCACAGAGCCTGATGTGGGGCTTGAACCCATGAACTGTGAGATCACAACCTAAGCCGGAAGTCAGGAGTTAGACACTTACACTTAACCGATTGAGCCACCCAGTCTCCCCTCCCTTCTTCTAATTTTGCCCCTGAGCCATAGGCAACCACTAAAATCAACTTGCAGTCTCTGTAGACTTGCCTGTTATGGATATTTCATATGAATAGACTTATGTAATGTGTGGTCTTTTGTTGCTGACTTCACCAGCAGGATGTTTTTAAGATTCATGCATCTTGTTGCCTAAAGCAGTATTTCATTCTGCCTAATGGTATTCTGTTCTGTGGATATACTGCATTTTGTCAGTTGATGGGGATTTTTGTTGTTTCCACAGTTTGGCTATTGTGAACAATGCTGCTACATTCATGTACAAGTTATTGGGTGGACATATGTTTTCATTTCTCCTGGGTATGTAGCTAGGATTGAAATTGCTGGATCTTTGATAACACTATGTTCAACTTTTTGAGGTACTGTCAGACTGTTTCCCAAGGTGGCAGCACCATTTACATTTCCATCAGCAGAGTGTGAGAATTCCAGTTTATCCTCTCTGGCCAAGGCTAGCACTAGCACTGGCCTTTCTCTTCTGCCTTCTCTCCCTGCCCTCCCCTTTTCCTCCATTGTCATAGCCTTGCTCGTGGGAGTAAAGTAGTATCTTATTGTGGGCTTGCCCTTTGCCCATTTTTATTTTTGTTTATTTTTTAAAAAAAATATATTTTTAAGTAATCTCTACACCCAACATGGTGCTCGAACTCAACCTGAGATCAAGAGTCACATGCTCTACTTACCAACTGAGCCAGCCAGGTGTCCCTCCTTTGCCCATATTTAAATTGAGTTGTCTTTTTTTTTATCCTTGGTGGGTTGAGGGACTGGATTCACCCTCACCAATAGCTCTCCCCAAAGAAATCTTCCTTACCAGTCTCCTCTTGGTCTCCACACATTTGTTCCTCCTCTACTTTCTTTTTTTAAATTTTTAAATGTTTTATTTATTTTTGAGAGAGAGAGAGGGATAGAGTATGAGCAGGGTAGGGGCAGAGAGAGTGAGAGAGAGACAGAATCTGAAGCAGGTTCCAGGCTCTGAGCTGTCAGCATAGAGCCTGACATGGGGCTTGAACTCATGAGCCATGAGATCATGACCTGGGCTGAAGTCAGATGCTTAACCAACTGAGCTACCCAGGTGCCCCATCTCTACTCTCTTTCTGAATGGAAAGTTTTTGTAGTCCTCCTCTCATTTTGTATCTTCTGTTGGAGTTTTTCTTCTTCTTCTTCTTTTTTTTTTTAAATGTTTTATTTATTTCTAGGGGAGAGAGAGAGAGACCGCGTGAGCAGGGGAGGGTCAGAGAGAGAGGGAGTCACAGACTGAAACAGGCTCCAGGCTCTGAGCTGGCAGTCAGCACAGAGCACGACGCAGGGCTCGAACCCACGAACCACGAGATCATGACCTAAACAAAAGTCGGATGCTTAACCGACTAAGCCACCCAGGGGCCCCATCTTCTGTTGGAGTTTTAAAGTCTATTTTATCTCAGTGCCTCACTTGACATTTCCAATCAAATGTCCCATCTGGCTGCTATCTCAGTACCTAACTACAGAGCCCTTTAGGTCCTCAGAGCCTGTTTCCTCTTTACTTTATACCCAATCCAGATCAGGTTGGTTTTCTGATTAGCACCATAGTGGAATTAGAAGTAATAAATTAGAAGTTAGTTAGACTAACTAAGGCACACTGACAAGAGAATGCCAGCAGAGAGGATCAAGAAAGGAGACAGAAATGTACTCCAGAAGGGCATAATAATTTGAAAAACAAAGTATGCTGGGACTGCTATGTTCAGCATACTTTGTTTAAGAAGGCAAGAGTTGCATCTACTCCATTGAAAAAATACTCTGTTCTGAAAGAGGTAAAATATAAATGCATTTTGGTATTTAAGGAAGTAAGCCCTCAGCTTGCTGAATGAAATTGTGGCAGGAGCAATTATAAGAGAAGGCCTTTCTACGCTTGCGTCCTTTACATACAGCAGGGAGTGCAACAGTGTGGCTCTGGTGCGCC